TTTGTGGAATAAACAAAGAAGCGGAGCGCTGGAACCTCACCCCGAGCGCCATATTGTATAGTCCCTGCTTTTCACTGAATGTACTTTGTAAGCTCTTTCCATCTGTGCCTATTTTTCTTCAAACCGGTTCAGAACCCAACCATGATCTTTTTTCCCAAATACGGTTTTCTAGGATGTGTTCAGATCCTTGCTCGGCCGGGTAGAGGAATATTACTGAAACCAACCAGCGCGGAGCCAGGCCGCGCCGGGGAGAGACCGGGTCTGGCTGGCGGCCTTACGGGCGCGCTGTCCTTCCCAAAGGGGCCCGCGGGCTGTGCGGGCCGTGCAGCCGGTTACCAGCACTAGGGACAACCCACAGCAGCCGGTAAGCGTTGTTCATTTTACAGAGAAAAGACAATTCATTGAACTAGCAGACCTCAAAGTGTTGTCAGCGGAGGTTGAAGAAGAAATAAAGTGAAGACACATGGATATGGCTACTTTTTTCTTTCTTTCTTTCTTTTTTTTTTTTTACTTTGAACATTAAGTTGGTTACCGTACACATCCAAAGGCCCAGCATCTCGGAAATATCATGAAGTGGCACACCTTGTACCAGAGTCTCACAAGAATAAAATAGACAATGCTACATCAAGTGGTTAAAAATACACAAAAAAAAGTAGTTTTAACAGTCTATAAATTTTTTATACTTAAAATCATGATTGAGTTGAAATAAAAAAAGTGCATTTCAATTGCTAAAAAAATAACATCGGTATAGTTAACACGAGGGGGGGATCAGTACACCGAGGGTCTGACAGGACGCTGAAGAAAAGGCGCGGCTGGTGTGGGGGTGGGGCAGCTCCGCCGCCCCCGCGGCTCCCTGGCGCCCGCGCGCCCTCCTCTCCCCCCGCATCTTTTCCGTCCTAAGAAATCCTGTCCTACCTACCTGTCACATCCCCAGTCTTCTAACCTTCTTTGCAGCATAAGAAGTACCTGCCCTACACCAGTCACCTTGACCTTCAGTTGCGTCTTGGCAGAGGTAGGAGAGGGACACTGCCCCCTTCTGGACTTGACACGAGTACCCCAGCCACGTGGCCTTAATCCGTATGACCTAGCAGGCAGAACAGGGACCAAGCAGCTTCTGTTTTGTCAAACTCCTTTGGACAAAAATGTTCAACATTCAACAACAAGCTTTGTAAACCTAACACTAAACAATTTCTGGCAAGCAAACTGGATTTTCTTTTCTATAAGAAACAAGGAAAAGTGCAAGTGATCTCAGTACTGTTGGGGAGAACAAAAATAAAACAAACAAGTTACACCTGGTGACCTGTTACTTAAACCGATCACAGCTTCAGTTTTACCTTTCTGTCGCATGGTGGCGTTACAAGGGGACACCTCTATCAACCTGTGTTGCTCAGGGCCAGGCGTGGCGGGAGGGTGGGGGCGGGGGGGGGGGGAAGGAGACAGACAGATACACGCTGGGAAGACCATTCCAGGTGCAGCTGCCTCCCGGCTCTGCAGGGCAACTGGCTGACTACTGACCTGCCTCCTGGGAAGGCGCTCCTGCCAGGGGTGCAAACACCACTCGTGGCCAGAGAGCTGATGAGGGCTGGGAGCCCTCCCTGACCCCCGCACTTGCTCCCTGGCGTGACAGGCATCGCTTTGGAGCAGACTCAGTGAGAAGCATTTCCTCATTCATACCCCTGAGTTACCCCTGCTGCTCTTATCTTTCTCAGGGGTGTCTTGGTCCTGCTGGTGGAGGGACTTGGAAGAAGGAGGGTCGTCTTCCTGCTTTAGCACAGAACACATCTCCCATGGGAAGGTCAATCTCGGGCACCATTATTTTAAAGATTTTATTTATTTGAAGGGAAGGGAAGGATAAAGAGAATAAGAGAAACGATGTGAGAAACATCATCAGTCGGTTGCCTCTCGTACGTGCCTCAAAAGGGAACCGAACCCTCAACCCAGGCGTGTGCCCTGACCTGGAATTGACACTTTGCAGAACCATATACAACCAACTGAGCCACACCAGCCAGGGCACCATTACTTTAAAAGGCTAATTAAGATGCCTGACCCACAAGGACCTCTGACCCACACCTCAACCTTTGTTTGCATCATGAAGTCTGAGCAACTACTAGACACAGTAATATGGGAAAGTGTCTTAAAAACCAAGATCTATAAATAAAAATTGAGTCAAAAGAGGATATTCTACAGGAGACTTAAACGAGGACTCTTTAGAAGGTTTAGAATAAAGACGCTAAAGTACTTTGTTGCCCCCTTGTGGACAAAGCCAGTACTGCTGATGAAATAGAAGCATACAGTTCACATCAGGAAATGAATTGACGTATATTGGAAGGAGTCATCTGATTTTCAGAGACTGTATATATATATATATATCCTTAGAGATACAACTTCAGAAGTAAACAGCAAAATGATGCCACACAGTTTTTTTTGTTTTCTTTTTAGTTTTGAAAAATCTAATGAGTTGAATAATCAAGCACAGACAAGATACTTCCGGGAGGGTTAGAGATTCTAAAACAGTTATTTCCCACCAACTTGCAAATGGAATTAAACAGAGCCTCGAGGCCTGTGCAGGACACGGGTTGGCATCTACGTCCTTCTGATCACATGGTCCCTTTCACTCATAAAAGACACGTAGGGAGAAAGCTGTGTCCGTTCAGAGGAGCTGGATATTAAGAAGTAACTTGATTCTTTGGCACATTGGGTTCAGAGACAGGCTCTTTGGTTGGTCAAAGCCAACAATGCAAGTATCAGATTTCCTCCTAAAGTTAAGCGAAATTCAGCTTTTAGCCCTTCTTGCCCCATCCCCATTTCCTATATCCCCAAAATAGTTTTCAAGTGATGTGTCCCATCCCAGCCTCACCAGAGAAGCTCCAACTGTGTAAAAGGAACCTGGACCTTAAAAGCAGAGGGGACATTTCCCAGGGGCAAGGGCCCTCTGATACCTGCACCAAACATTTCCTATTGTAGAAGACATGGGACACGCTGGCACTGTCCCTGGAATGCAGCTCCTCCAAGTGTGGACCCACCACAGCTCCGCACTGGTGCTGCCTGTGACTCCGGAGAAAAAAGTCACACATTTTGAAGTGGTTACTTCTGGTAGCCAGACACTGCCCAAAAGAGACAAACCTCCCGGTCAATAACAGGGACCTATCAAGGCAAATTAAAGCAGAAAGCATTAAAACAAGAAACCCCTATTACTTATTTCTGTAGAAATCGGCCTTTCGCAGTTTGTAGACTTGTCTTCCCATTCCTACTAGCCAGTGCAGCCTCCCGATGTCTTGAACTTACTATCAAACATAAATCAAATCTCACAGTTTTCACTGTCCTCCAAAACATACTGTCACTAGGAAGGATTAAGAATTACTAAGAGCTGCCTTCTTAGGGTGCCACTTCATGTGGTTTTTAGTCTTGAAAACCTGAGTGTTAGTATTATGAATTTGAAGGAAGGAGGCATGACATTTGAAGTCAAAAGGAAAGATCTTGACTAAGACCAAAATACTCAATAGCTTCCATTCACTTAAAAAAAAAAAAAGAAGAAGAAGAAAGAAACCCAACTCAATCCAATTTCCTCATTTTAAAGAGTTTTCAGTTTTGGGGGAGAAACGAAAGGGAGCGAGAGACCTGTATATAGCACAGACTTCAGTTCTGACTGAAGGGTTAGCCAATTGCTAAAATGTTTTATTAATAAGGTGCTCACATCACATGGAGAACACACTGCAACCCCCCCCTTTATTACATCCTTCATATATTATCTATCAATCATATTTTACAAATTAATTAGATGAGAACAAGAAGAAAAGAAAATAACGAAGTTTCCGAGGGACAAGAGGATGAGAGGTCAGAAATCAATAAGGACTTTTGATTAAAGTTAAGTTGTGGGTGCAACCTTGCAGGGTGTTTCTGGAAGAGAGAGGGTGTAGAGGGACAGGGCATGGCAGCAGCAGCAGGCGGCGGTCCCTTACAGCGGGAGGCATTCAGGAAGACTAGGACGAGAAAAAGACACTCAAGAGAGATGCTCAATGACCTCTCCCTTTCGCCAGTTTCTGTTAAGCTTTGTCTGTTAAGTTTCTGGCGAAAGGAAAGAAAATGAAACGTAAGATAAGGATAAAATATTTCATCATTAGAGATGTAATATGTGAAGAGATAAGATATAAATAAAAGTTAAAAATGCGATCTAACATGGCACGGGGAAACAAAAGAAGTATGTTCAAAATTCTCTGTCCACGGTTTTAGCTCTTCTGCAGAGCCGAGCCCACTGGAGTAAGGGTGAACTCCAATACTCACGGAGAATGAAATAATTAGAGGTAGGAGTCAAACCAGGACAAGAACGTTCCAGGATGCTGGCTGTTTGAAGGCACTCAGGAACAGGGTGAGAGACTGACGCTGCGGTGGGGTGATGCGGGGGCGGAGGGGGTGTGTATTCATGCATCTGTCATATGGAAATAACAACTCCAGGAACATTGTGACAATACATGTCTCATTGAGTGATACACAGAGTAACAAGGTAGAAATCCACTTTATAAGCAGTTTCTTACAATACAGCTTCTACTTAAGGAATAAGAAAGAGAAGTTTGTTTTCCAAATAGGCAACTCTGCAAAATAGTTGACTTCAATGAGGAATTTGATAAATGGTACATTATCTGGTTCTTTATTCAAATTTATTCAACCTCAAGCTTCAAAGTTGGGACAACCAAGGAATTTGATTTTCCTTTGAATCTTGCAAAACCTATCCTCTAAGACAAAAAGATCTGATCATAAAGTCTATAAAAAGTCTAGAGAGTATAAAAGTATAGAATTATGAAAGTGGATATATTGATGGCAACTTTTATGGCTTCCACAGAAGTGTAGAGAGGATCTCTGGTTTGCTTTAACGAGGTAGTGTCCAGGGTTGGAGGGTCACCGTTACCTATTAAAATGCTACAGATGGCAGAAGCAGGTAAGCTAGGGTATTGTTATTGCATAATAATGCCACTATCTCTAATGGCTAATGACCTCTCATTCCTGAAAAAAAAAAAAAAAAAATGACCTTTTGGGAAATTTCTTATCTTGGTTTAGGCAAAGAAAAAAAGAGAACCCAATATTTACTTGCTCCATTTTACAGTCTGAAGAGTTCCAAGTGAGTTTATTTTTGTAATGGTACATAACTGATAAAATTCTTAAATGTAACCTAACCCCTTTTTTATTAAATACTTTCCATACAGTCTAGAACAGCATCGAAATGTTCATCATGTGGATCAGCAATGTAGTAAGACGCCTTTTCTGTACAGTAGCTCAAATAGAAAGGTTTCTCTAACTTCAGTTTTCTTTCATTATTTTTTTTTTCTTACAATAAAACCCACCACCGCCCGTGTTCTTACTGAAATCTGCAAGACGGGGTAAATATATTTACATTTGCAATGGATTTTTCTGCTTGATCTTCTCAAAATTTAAAACTTCCAGTGAAATCAAAATGAAACTAAACATACACACCCATTCAATAAACATAAAAACTGAAAAAATTTTCAAGAGTAGAAAATTCAAATATCACACGTATCTCTTCAGAATATTTTGCCTTCAGTTAGTATACCAGGGACAGTCAAGTTATACGGAGCATCTAACCACAGAGAGAAGGTGGTTCCAACAACTGTAGTTTGAAAAAAGATGGTACAACTATGGTTAATGTCCACGCTCCGTCATTAACATAGAAGAGTTCATGTAAATGGTAGACTGGAAAAGCATATGCAACTGATTTGCAAGGATTTCTTTGAACTACTGTAAAGTTTTATGTGGCAACCTCCCTGTTGGCTAAAAATAACAATCAAATCACAAATATACACGGAGATGAAGCTGCATGCCTTTACACTGTTCATCTTATATTCTTCATTCAAATTTAAAAATCTCACTCGAGCTTACCTGACTTAATTTGAGAAAGCAGCAAGCAGCCTTTCCTTAAGGCTAAGAAAGAGTTTATATTTCAATGATGGATCTTATGAGAAAAGAACAGGAAAGTGAAGAAAAGCAATACCAACTCAAGAAAGCCTTTGGGAATTTTCCTCAAGCAGGTCTTAACCCTAGCAGTGATACAAGCCTTTGAAGACAAGACAGTTAAGTGATGGGAAACAGCCTCAATTTGATCTCTGTATAATGCTCAGAGGTGGCTGCTGTTGTCTTTAAAAGACTTACTTAAGTACAGATAATGGCTGAGAACTCAAACTCCTCCGTAGTTCTTTTTTCACAAACAGAGAGCAAACAGGAATAAGTTTTAAAGAAGTCATGGGGTACTTGTACTACATGTGAGAGAGAACACATCACGTAATGCAACTTTTATCTTAGTAAAGGACCCCAATCAAATTTTCAACCCTGGGTTTGAGTCTCAAGCATGTTGCATCTGATGTGCATATATGTTTAAGGCTTAATCCTGGAGTTCTTGTATTCAGCAGCATTAAAGTTGTAAATAATCTTAATGCATTTCGTTATTCATAGGTACCATGACACTGATAAGGAGTCAATTATGTTCTGGGTAATTTTCCTGAAGACCACAAATCCCAAGATGGAAAAGGTATACCATATAGGGAAAATAACGGGAAGTTTCCAGAATGTTCCACAGTACTGTTCACTTAGAACGGTATTGTGTGATAATGCTGATTTTTTTTTTTTAATTTTTCCTCCTTCTGTTAAGGGTGGTGGTGATTATTTGCTTAATGCTGGTTTTCCTATGCAGCAGATAATTTCTTATGGCTCTGTTCACTTGACAAAAAAAAAAAAAAGAAAGAAATCAAAGATGACAACGTGAATTTTCCAGTGTATAATTACAGTACACCTCTTAAAATGGTTGCTTCAGTGGTCTCAGATCTAGAATTCAGAATTGCTGCCCTATACCATAAATTTATTTAGGACAAAATAAGGTAGAGCCAATTAACTGAGCTGCAGTTTACATCTTTAAAAAATAATTTTAATATTAGAGGCTTGGCCATGGGATAACGATATGTCTACATGAAGGCATAGCTCCACAAACTTGTCACGGAATTGGAAGGAGTGTGGGAGCAGGGGGGCAGGGGGAAGTCACTAAAGACCCACAGTCATAAACAGGGAATCACCTTTCCTTATTGGCTTGGGTGCGTGGGTACTCAAAGAATGTATACAAATATTTTAAAAAGACATTCTTTAGAAATTATATTCAAAACCAGGGGAAAAACTCTGTTTTGAGATACTTTGCTGCCTCATTCCAAAATTTTTCTCTGCTCTTTATAGAAGACAAAGGCAATAATCAGAAGAAAAAAAAATGGACATATTAAACCAGAAAGCTAATAAAGAATGCAATATTTTAAAAACAGGGACTTAACCTCAATGGAAAGAGTTCCATTTTTGCCTACCACAGAGCTAATCGGCCGGAAAGGTGCTTAAAGTAGGTCTGCATATTTAATATTAAAAATAAAAATAAATAGAAGCCAGGATTCTGATTCAGGCAATGATTTAAGAGCCTGAGGAAAGAAAGTGAAAATATTCAAAGATTTAAAAATCAAGAGAGGGAGAGAAAGTAAGTAGATCTAGCTTTGGAATTCAGTTCTCTGAGACGAAAAAATACAAAATTTTTAACTTACTGAGTCTGCATAAACTTGATCCGTTAAATACATTTACGTTAGCCCTCCGGTTCACCCTCTCCTTCAATAAGCTGACTGACCGCACCCTTTCACAGCTCTCCACGCTTAGGACAGTAACCTGCCTGAAGGAACAATATTAGCGATTCTGCTCCCCTCGCCACCTGTGAACTCGGCCATCGCCTAATGATTTGCAGAGGACAGGGCGACAGAAAGTGGCTTTCCTCCCCTCACTGCAAATTCAGACTGTGCTGGGATAGGCTCCAAGTTGGGGATCTAGCCAGCGACAGAACAGACACCGTGAAACTCGGGCAGTTTGTGTTACCATCCAGGTTTCTCAGCCACTGCCAGCAGCGTCACGTTTGTGATTTTAGTGTGCTGCTTTTCGTGACGATTCTGGAAAAATCAAGCAACCACAAAACAAGAAGTGTATTATGAGACTTCGCTTTGTCATCCCAGAGGGGTCGCACACAAATACAGTTCCAAGGGAAGTGAGAAACAGACGTGAATGGGATGAGACAACCACTACCGCTTCCTCCTCTGGACAGTGAACGGCTTTCCTCGGATTTTCAAAGCGCACGAGCTTCAGGTGGCCTCCCTGGAAAAGGCCCGACGCTCTGCGAACCGTCAGTTTAATGCACTACGTGAACCAAGTGAAACGCGGAGGACAGGAGCGCGTCAGTGAGCCCAAAAGACACTTGAGTGTTAAGCAGAGATTAAAAAACTACCCAGGACTGACGTCAAGTTCTGAAAGCAAGACCCCATTTTTGCAGTAATGTGGTCCGGAGACCCTCTCAGATACATCTAATCTCTGAAGCACCTTTGAGTTGTACGGATGTAAGAATAACTTTGAACTATAGAAGTTATATGCATCTTTAAGAATCACATTTTGATGATTATAAAAATTTTTTTCTATTTTACAACATAGGTCCAGCTACACTGAAAAAATTACACCGCTTATTGAAATACATTTCATTTTAGAAACAGACTACTAAAGAAGTCTATACAAAAACTCTAAAATAATTTCTGTAGTAAAATAAAGAGTGCGTTAGGAGAGCTACACAAAGAAGAAAATTTCCATCTTTCTCTATAATGCTTGATATACTGTGAAACGTGGCCAGCTCAACTCTGTAGCCAGCACCAAAAGCTGAAAAGAATTCATTACCATACACAGTGATACAATTAATGCTCTAGGTTAATCTCACAGCCTTCCCGATTAGTACAAAGGAAACCAGGCCCGTCTCCTCTTTGAGGAGAAGTCCAGGATATAAAAGCAAGCATACCTCATCAGCTGATATGAAATTATAAAATTCCATAAGTCCGAGTACTTGAAATTTATAAAAGTCACCAGAAAATGCAAGCAAATTGGGCTTTAGTTTGGTGGTTCCCCTGGTTTAGATGACAGTTCCCTCCATGAGCTCAAGGGCGTCTTGTCCATCCCCGTGGGTGTGTTGATTCACCAAGACAAGGACAGAGCTCTTGGCGGAGGCCGAGGAGAGTCTGACAGCTATGGAAACGCTTGCCAGCTCCCTCTCCGCAAACTCACATGCGGGCGCACGGCTCGTGGAGAACACACGCAAGGAGATGGACGTTAATGATGCTGTGCCGAACTGTTCTTCTCTGCCAGGTGCCGCAGAAAGTTGTCCTCACCCTGGCCTCTGTGATTTAAAGGCTCGCTCTTAAAGAGAGCTGGAGGTGGGGGGAGGTGAGGCACGGGCGGGATGGGCAGGTGGTGTGGGTGGTGGGGGTGTGGGTGGATGTGGAGGTGCGAGAAGGGGTGGGGGATGGGCCGCGGGGGAAGCGCGCTGACAGGATTCATGTTCATTGGCGGGGCTGGGGTTGTGGGGGTGTTCACGACGGACGGAACTGGGGCGGCTGGGGAAGTTGTGAGTGGGATCTGGACAGCAGGCGGCACGTTCACGGGGCTGGTCACCCGAAAGCACTTCTCCTTGTGGGCCTTCAGCATGTTGGAGAAGCGGAACCGCTGGCCACACACGTCGCACGGGTAGGGCTTCTCGCCTGTGTGAGTTCTGCGGTGCCTCTTCATGTTGGGACGGCTGGTGAAGCTTTTGCCACAGATTTCACAGATAAAGGGTTTCTCTCCTGAGATCAACAGAGACACAAAAAAATGATTAACTACTTGGTGGTAATTAAGTGCTCACGTTATTCCTCAGATTGAAAAAGATTACCATTCCTCTCCCTTATGGCGTATCACGTTCCAATAGCTAAACAGGAGTCTCCCAAAGTTGGGACTTAACAAATAAGAGCAGATACGAGTAAAACTTACACACAACCTATCATCTTATTGTAACAGGGTGCAGCTAGCCCCCCAAGGGGATTTGTAATGGGGTCCAGCAACTGGGGTGTCCAAGGAAAATACAGGATATTCTCACCACCCCCCCGCACCCCTCCACCCCCCTGCGGGCGGCCTAGAGGGATGGGAGAGGAGGAGCAGGGCCATTGAGTTACTCTGCATGTCAGTAACAGCTGGGTGGCTTCATTCCTCACACGCAAAGATGGTTATTTTGGGTAATCAACAAGGCTAACCGGGGAAGCATGCAGAGGTTTAACCGAGGATGTCGCTGCGTGAGCAGCTCCCCAGCTTGCAGGGCCTGCCGAAGGAGTCAGAGATGGGGTTGTGGGGGAGGATTTGCACTGGGGTTTGGACCCGAGGCTTTTGACCACACGGTTTTGGGAAGCAGGAAAACAAGAAGTAGCAGCCATGCAGGCGGCTGGCTCCTCCCGTTATACCGCGTGCACGGGAGCTCAGAGATGGTTCGCTCCATGCCAAGGGGGGGACAATGCGAAGACCATGCAGGAAGGAAAGGGGAGAAAGGACCCTTGTAGTGGGCGGTGAGAAGGTGCCACGTGGGTTTGGATTAAGAACTGGAAGTCGTGGTGACACAGCTGACAGTGCTGGGAACTGGGAGGTGCCTGCCCAGCCGAGCCCCGGACTTCTGTTTCCTTCTCAAGGACGATTTGTTGAGATGTCATTCTTTACATGTGTCAGCAAGAAGAGCCAGGTCTCTCCCGTGAACACTATCATCTAGGTTTGGTTAAAAAAAAAAAAAGGCATCTACAGTAGTGACCCTTTACACCCGACAGGAAGAACTGTTCCCATGGCTTTTCTGTGCTCGAGGCAACTACCACCGCAGATGACTCTCTGCCTCTAAGTTCACGCAAGCCACCACGATCTGTAACCAGTATCTGACATTCCGACCAAAAGTAAGGTTTTGCTGATAATGTCCTGTGAGCAAATAAGTCTCCTGGTGTCCACTCGTGCTTAATCCTTAGTGTGGGGCTTACTCTTTAGTATTGGACTTGGAAAAGACTGGCCAGACTCAGCCTGCGAGGTGCATCTCACGTGGCCGCGTTTCTCAGTGGGAGCGCTACGGGTCCTTCTGCGGAGCACTCAGCATTCCCGGTGCTGCCTACCCATTGCCCTCAAAAGATTCTGACAATCAAAAAACATCCCCACACTATTTCCAAATGTCCATGGATACAGGGAGAATTGGGTGGGGGGTGGGCTACTGCTTCTGGTTGGGAAACGCTGAGCCAATGAGTCAAAAAGGAAACTAAAATCCCATAGTTCTAGGGGCACTTACGGAGAAATTAGGTTTGGGTTCTAAGAGCTTAATCTTTAGGCTCCCTAACTTCCCTTTGGGCATATTGCTTAGTTCTGTGCTGTCTGCCTGCTTTGCCACCCAGGCTATTGGGGGGGGGGGCACAAAATGATAATTTCTGTCTACTAACCACTTCATATTGAATGCTGAGGGGAGGGTGGAGCACCTGTGCTACCTGCGCTTCAGTGACAATACGTTTTTATGTATCAGTTCCTTCATCAAAGCTCTGAAAGCGTAGCTTGTATCTTCGCAGTAACTCCTGCTACAAGTTTGTTGTTACTTCAACTGTTGCTCCCTTTCTTTCCAACAGGTGGCCTTATTCTAGTCCATATAAGTGCTCCTGTGTATTGCATCTCACTGTGTGCTCGGCCTGTCCTCACTTTACATCGGTTAATCCTGGTGATCCTCGCAGGGACACACCAAAGGACCAAGAGACCCTATGATGTCATTTTTTATTATTCCTATTTTAATGGTCAGGAAATGAAGAAACTTGCCCAAGGTTCTACAGCTAGCGGAGAGCCAAGACTCAAACCTCTGCGTTCGGGCTCCCGCAGTCGATGTCTGACATACGAACGGCAGCACTCACCCCTGGCCGCCCTGCGCACTCCCGCGCTCACCACGGGGGCGGGGGGAGGGGCTGTTTTCTCACGGCTGCCCTCCACTCTGGGACCCTCCCACTCAGCAGCGAACACCGCTTTACTGTGTGCAGGCCTCATTTCATCTCTCCGCCTTCAAAGCCATCCCCTGTTGCCTTCCCTTCAGGAAAGCCCGCATTTTCCTCCTGTCCCCGCGAGAGCGGGCTGCGCAGTCAGGAGGGGCCGTTTCCTGTGACCACAGGCACTGCCTTCTGACGGTCAGGGTTCTCTTATCTTCCAGCTTTTCCTTATTCAGTCACTGGCACCGCCAGCTCCTCACTGTGATACACAGTCATCTTTCTGGATGAATCCGGAGCCCAGCGGGATTTCCCGCTCTTCAATACATTTCCTTCAATCACTTTAAAAACTTCAAATTCTACATTAAGTGGAATTTATTAAATCAGTTGTGATACAGCCACCTGATGGAACGCACCATTACAAACAATAATATGAAAGTGCCAATACAAACAGTACACGTTATTATCTGCTTAAAATTTTTAAACAATTCTATTTATTTTTAGAAAGAGGGGAAGGGAGGGAGAAAGACTGGGAGAGAAACACCGATGTGTAGAGAAACATCGACCAGTTCCCTCTGGCACGCCCCCAGCCAGGGACGGAACCCACAACCCAGACGTGCGCCCCAACTGCGCATCGAAATGGCAGCCCTTCGGTTTGCAGGACAGAGCCCAACCCACTGAGCCACGCCGGCCAGGGCCACTAGCTACTTTTAATAAAAAATGTATCTAGAAAAAATATGGAAAGAAATACAATAAACGTTGCCAGTGATTATCTCTAGATAATGGGATTGCGAGTAATGTCTTATATATTTTTAAACTTATATGTACATTCTGTTTTTCTAAAATAAACATGCTTTACTTACACTATAAAATGTATTAAAAGAATCCTCTTTGATAACCTATCAAACTCCAGGACCCCTCCATTCTGGGTTCCCCAGAGTTTGTGTTCCTCACTCCCTAATCTTCGAATTACTTAATTCACTAATAATTCTTTGTTGCAGCAGACCCTTTATTCACAAACAGCACGTATTTAATGAAAGTTTATTGGCTTTTACCTTTGTTACATGCTCAAACCTGGCTCTAACGCTGGATCTATCTCCCACTGTAGTCTGCTAGGATAATGATTTGCCGTAGAAACACCAAAAACTATTGGAACTCTCCTGCCACAAATCCATGGACTCAAATTAAAATGGGTCCTTTTTACTGCTTAATAATCTTTATTTTCATTTCTTAGTGTACTACCAAATTTTCCACTTGTGTTGTTCCAGACATAAGCAGCGATCCCACCTTCATCTAATTCTCGTTATTCATTAAGTCCATCTCCTAAACTGTGCTAGTGACTGATGTCTTGATTCCTCTGAAACCTCAAGGTATGATTACAATGAGGCTGAAATAAGGAAAAATCAAAATGAAGTACTTTAAATTAACCACCTGTACAAATGTCTCACTCTGAGGAAGAGCTGGTCACTGGGAGGCTGGCGGATACACTAACAACTAGTTCCATCAAAGTAACGAGAAAAGCATGTATATATTTATATCAATACATCTAAAGATATGACATACTGTCACATATGATAAAGCCAACCTGACTGTAACAAACAGGGTTGTAATGAGTCTTAAGAAAGAACATTATAAATGAAGACAGAGAATCTGCAGGGAAGATAGAAAAGAGCAAGAATCTGGTTAGTTGTCTTTTGCACGGTTCAAAGGAAAAAGCGATCTGGCCAATAGACCCAAGAATTCCACTGGCTAAGTATGCACATCCTTGAGGAGCACTAGAAATCTACCCTCCTAAGCTTTAAATCCATTTTACAAACTGCCTACTGGATTTCCACTTCAGTGTCCCAGAGATACCTGACGACTTGCAAGTGAAGAAATTCATTGTCCTCCTTAGTAAACCTGCCCCTCCCTCCGCTACTCTCCACCTCGACAAGTGGTGTGTATATAAGCCCCAAATATGGAACTAGCACTTGATTCTTTCCTCCCACACCACCGGTATCCAATCAATCTCCAAGTTCATGTCACTCTACTTTGTCTATCGCTGTCATTTCATCCACTGCTATTACCCTAGTCCTTATCGTCACAGTCATTTGGCTGGATGACTGCCAACGCCCTCCGACTGGTCCCACCGTCTGTTCTTGCTCCCCACCTTCTCCCCAACTCTCCACACTGCAGCTTTCAGACAGCTGTGTCGCATGCTGCTTAAAACCACTCAGAACTTCTCACTGTCCTTAGAGAAAGTCCAAAATGTTTTACATGGCGTGTGTGTGTGTGTGTGTGCGTGTGTGCGCGTGCATGCGTGTGAGAGAGAGAGAGAGAGAGAGAGAGAGAGAGAGAGAGAGAATCTGATTCCTGCTTACTGCTCTCCAGTATCATGCCTTATCATACTCCCTGTCCTCCACCCCCAAACCATCCAACTCTGGCCAACTCTGGTCAGTTCCATGTATTTACTATGCTTTCATCACCAAACCAGTGCTATGCCTTGCTTGTCTATCGCCCCTACCTGACTATAACCTCTGTGAACCTAGGGACTATTTCAGTCTTGCTCATGAGAGTAGCCCCACTGAGCAGATTCTCATAACTGTCTGTTAACTCTGGGACAGACCTTTTCTCCCACATACACCTCACAACCCATGGCATGTCACCGCAGCACTTCCTCGTGGTTTATAAAGTAAGTTTGTCCTAACACTGACGGCTTCTTGGATTCAATGAGGGATGGTACTCATCATTAAGACCATTCGAATATCTTTCTTTGTTCTTATTCCCTGTCCCTGACAATCTTTTGATTGTAATTTAGCTTCTCATATAAATTATTCTTTAGGTAAAGAATATGCTTACCAAAGAACATCAGAGTTTAAGCCACTTGCACTCAGCTTTTTCACTGTCAATAAATGAGCAATTTTATTTATGTATCATTAAGGCTATTTATTTAGCACCTATCAATTTCTGATCTGCTTAAGTACACTGACGAATTCTGGAAGCGGAGAGCCAGACTCAGGGATGGAGCCTTCTGCCCCTCCGGTGTCCTGCGATTCCCACCACCTTACTCTCTGCTATGTGAAATCTTTGTCCTAACCATTGAGGAGGTGGCTCTGCAGTCAGGCTGCCTTGGACAAATTATTTAATCCCTGAGCCTCAGTTTCCTCATCTGAAAAATGAAGATGATAATAATAGGTTATTGTGATAAGTTGAAAGTACAAGAAGAGCGCTTAGAACGGTATCTGGCACACAGTAAGCATTCAATGCATTTAAAACCGTTATTATTGTTACTATTATCATTACCATTACTATCATTGACCTATAAGCCCCTGAGAACAAAAATCGAATCTTAATTCAACTTTGTGTTCCTAGACACTTTGTGCTGGGCCTGGTACAAGAAGAATCAGCAATTATTGTGTCGAACTCAGCCGGCACAGGCGTCATCCTAGGAAAACCTGCCTGAGGGCCGGTCAGTTTCCCTAGATAAGATCCACCTCACTTGTCTTTAACAGCAAAGAGAGAGCCCAGTCAACACCAGTGTCTGCAAAGGCCTTAATCCCCACCAGAAGAGAGTCTAAATGTGGTTTCATCCAGGCACGAGAGAGCTAACCGTTTCCTTCCTTAAAACCAACCCTTTTTCTTGTATCTCCTCAAGTACTGCTGTCTCTCCCTTACTTAACACCAAGGAACCAGAGGTCTAGAGAGGGGTTGTCTAAGTTCACTTAAGGCCACACTGCTGGTGAGGGGCAGAGCCCAGTTTGTCTAATTCCACTATACAGCTACCTGCACAATTTGAGTATTACAAACAATATTAAAAGGCAGATGACGAACCAGGGGAGATAACTTTAATACTGGTGTTAAACATGGTCCAGTATGTATGTATGTATGTATGTATGTATATATAAATATATGTGTATGTGTGTATATATGTATATGTATAGATGTGTATGTGTATACACACACATATATATAAAGAGCTTTATAAACAATAAAAAAGTCCAACACCGCAAGAGAAAGCTGATTATAGAAAAGGCACAATAAACTCAGAAAAGAAAATATACTGATACCCAATGAGCATATGAAAAAATGTTCAATCTTACTTAGCAATTAAATGCAAGTTAATACAACAGAAACCATTTCTCACCCATCAAACAGCAAGGATTTATTTAGCACTGGAAAGGGTTGAGGAACTAGGTATTTTCATGCACAGCTGGTGCATGGCTATTTTGCAACATACTATCAAGTCTTAAAAAATGTGCATATCCCTTTGCCCTCATACTCCCATTTCTAGAAATTTATCCTAAATAATACTGTTAATCACAGTATTATTTACAACAGTAGAAAAATTAGAAACAAACAATCTAAATGTCTAATAGAGAACTGGCTAAATAAAGTGGTGATAAAACATGCTTTATTTTATAGAATTGTTCTAAAATTTGATTATATTAATTAAATGAGATAATGTATGTAAAGCATTTAAGACAGTGCCTGGCATATATGAGCATAATAAACAATGTCTTATTATTACCATTAAAATGATGTTGCTGTTAATGACACAATACAGTAAAATGAAAAGCAGGTTACAATAGAGTAGAAAGACCCAAACTTTGTCTCATTACTATATACATGAACACATACACATACACATATGCATCTATCTATATCTATATCTATATTAAGAAACTAAATAACTTTTAGAAATTTATGCCAGAATGTTTGTTTATTAATTGATTTTTTTAAGAAAGAAGAAGGGAAGGAGGAAGAGAGAGAGAGAAACATTGATTTGTGGTCCACTTTTTTATGCATTCATTGGTTGATTCTTGTATGTACCCTGACCAGCTATCAAACCAACAACCTTGGCGGATCAGGACGATGCTCTAACCAACTGAGCTACCTGGCCAGGGCTTGCCAAAACATTAACAGTAGTGATCTATTAGAAGTAATATTATGGTGCATTTTTATTTTGTTTTCAATTTGCATATTTTCAAATATAGTTTAATAGGTATGTATTATTCTTTTAATGAGGATAAAAATTTGAGTGAATTTAGAAGAAGTAGGAAATGTTCAGCTTGCCTAGCTGGTCAAAGAATACTTAACATGAAATTTTATTCAACAAATACATTAATCACAAAATATACAGACTATCATATTAGGACACTTAAGGGTCTGAAGAAAGGAAGAAGGGCAAAGGGGAAGGGAAAAAAAAGGAAGAAACGCAGGGGAGAAGGAGCAGAAGAGTGGGGAGAAAGACGCACAGGGAGACACGAAGGGAAGAGGAAGGTGAGTGCAGCGGCAGAGGCTCAAGTGGCCACCGGTTTCTTCCACTCTTGCCTCACTTACTGGCACCTACTACGTACCCAGCCCTGTACACGAATGTGAAACAGTTCCATAGATTCCTGCTGAATAACAAAAGCTGAATCCTAAAAGTGACTCAAAACTTAGAGCCTCTCCAAGAGCCACCAAGTTAAAGGAGAATCTGTTAGATACCCTATACATTTTGCTACCCATTTAGGCTTCAAAATTATCATTACCTTTGGAGGTGTAATTTTCTTAAACTCTTCATCTAGCCTAATTCTTAAAATCTGAGGGTGCTCTGCTCTGAATGGGAAGGAAGCCCACCAGGCAGGCATTTTTCTGCAGACTTCGACAGAGAAATGGAACCTAAAGAGATCCAGACAAGGGCAGAAATGCCTCGCCACTAACTAGTTAAGCAAAAAGAACATCAGGCTAAGTTCTGTAATCTCTTGTGCTTCTTTCCAGCTCTGTTACTCTGCAGACCAGCGATTTTCAACCTTTTTCACATCACGGCACAGATGAACTAATTACTAAAATTCTATAGCAGCACACCAAAAAATATATTTTTTGCCGATCTGACAAAACACCTCAAAAAAAGGTGTAATTTTGATTCATTCACACCAAGCAGCTACTGTTGTGTTAGCTGCTGTCATTTTTTATTTGACAATCTAAGGGAAAAGAGGTCAGTGCCCCTGACTAAATAGTCAGATATTTCATGTTTTAAAATTCTTGCGGCACACCGGTTGAAGAACAGCTGCTACAGACGAACAGAATCTAGAATCTTATGATTAGATTTTATTTAAAAACCTGAAAAATGTTTCATATTGTTCAATTTGTGCACAGACAGGTAATCCCAGGCAAGTTAAGACTGAGATGCAATGATAATGTTTTCAAGGGGAACTATTATTTTAGCCAGTTCCCTGGAAGCTGGATAGTTAAATGCTTACAAGATTCAAATCCATGCTATGGAGCATATACCCCTAACAACACAATGTGGTTATATTATTTAACCTCAGTGGATGGATGTGTTCCTGAAATGTAGTGCATTTTGGTAAATTAAACCAAACTTTTAAGAGCGCTGAGAATGCATTCTATTTGAAGCAGTCCAGTGCCCTCCATTTTTTAAAGGTCTAAGGACCCTTTCCTCAGGAAAAATAAACACAAAACAAGATTTGTACCATTTCAGTAGACCCTGTGCCCCAAGTAAAGAACCCATTCTTTTGAAGGAACCCACAGTTAAAAGGCAATAACAAATAATCCTTTTAAAAACAGAGCTATGAAAGCCTAATTATTCAGTATTATAAATCTACATTTTTATATTTCAGGTTTATTTAAAGTGAAATTTCCACTCAGAATGAAAATTGGTGGTTTAGATTTTGAAACAAACAGACTCACAGGTGGTCATCAACAAGCTCCTGAGACACAGCTGTACCTTTCCCAAGGCGCTCTTACCAGTGTGTGTTTTCATGTGTTCATCGAAGTACTGCTTCATGTTGAAGTCCTTGCCACACCACTGGCACATGAACTGTTTGTGCCCAATGTGGATGCTCATGTGGGAGCGGAGCTGGTACTTGTATTGAAACCTTTCGTCACAGTTCTGCATTGGACACAGTGGAGAGTTTTGAATGCCAAGCATCACAGCTTTACTTGAGCCCGCCCTGCATAGTCTCTGAGATAGGTTTACTTTTCATACTCAGAATAGAACCTCCTTTTGTCAACTATTTGGCTCTGCTATAATTCTGAAGCTGAGTTATTAATAAAAGGGAAATTTTTAAAAGATTGTATTTATTCATTTTTAGACAAGGGAAGGGAGGGAGAAAAGGGGAGAGAGAAATATCAGTGTGTGGCTGCCTCTCACACACGCACTACTGGGGACCTGGCCCACAACCCAGGCCATGTGCCATGACTGGGAATTGAACTAGCGACCCTTTGGTTCACAGGCCAGTGCTCAACCCACTGAGCCACACCAGGCAGGGCTAAAAGGAAAATTTTTCATTCAATGATCACTGAAGCATATCCAACTTCTCTAAATTACTAAAAGAAAAACAACTCATGCGTTATTCCCAAATTTAACTTAATCCAAAAGAGTTAACAATATGTTTAAAAAGACATTTCTCCACCTAGCAGTAAGATTACAAACAATGCTCGGAGCATGAGTCTGGAGACTCTATGAAACGCAGCCTGGTGCCTGTACCTCAGCACACCCCCTCACTGCTTCACCAGATAGACAAAGGCTAGCACCTCGGCCTGGGCCTGGTGGTAGCACGGTCCTTACCTCACATCTGAAGGGCTTCTCTCCAGAATGCTGCAAGGAGTGCACCTTGAGTGACATGCTGCGTTTGAACGACTTTCCACAGGTTTCACATGTAAAAGGCATGTCTTTTGTGTGTGCTGCAACATAGAATGCACTTCTATTCAATATAAGTTCACCCAAAAGCTCAAACTGAAAAAGACAGGTGTCCTATTGTAAGGTCATCGTGCCATCTTAAATTTCTACACTCAAATTTGTGAGGCTTTAATAGTAATGTTCTGAAGAGAAAAAGAAATAGCAATGTTGAAAGGAAACCTGGGTGTGGAAGGCTGGACCATCCAATTCGGTGATGCTTACTGAAGACATGTTGTATTTAGTTTCAACAAGTCAAAAGTGACTAAAGTGAGGCAGGTCCTCATAACCTGCCCAATCCAGAGCATAAAACACACCAAAGAACAAGGGAAAATTATAGGTATGAGAGAAAAGCAGACAAAACTTACCAACCATGTGTTTCCGCACATGAGCCATGGTATAGAATTTCTTCTCACAAATTTCACAGGAAAATTTCTTTTCTGCATATCCATGGACAATCTTGATATGTTCATGAAGGGACCAGAGTTTCTTGAATGATTTGTTACAGGAAACACACTGAGCAGGATAAATAAAAATAATCTTTATTTATGAGGGCTTGCAGAAAGCCATACCTGCCTACTGGCAGGTGCCACGGTGTGCTTTAGATTCATGGCACAAGGGCAGAATCCAAACAAATGCTATTCGTCCTCCGAGTCCACATTCCCGCACCAATATCTGTGTGCTCTACTGTCCAAGATGCATCTTTTAGACACATTGGGAATATAAAAGTGACGGCAAAAAGTAAGACAAGAAGAAATGGGAAGTTCCACTAATATCAAAGAATTGACTGCTTTTATCAAGTTTGTTTTGTACCTATTAAAAACAACCTCCGAGGTGTTGTTTTTTTTTTAAAATGCATGAATTACCAACAGCGGCTGCCTCCTACTCGTGGGTCTTTAATAGGTGCACGCCAAAAAACACGAAGTAATTTAAAATTAGCATAAATAAAAACAAGAAAAAACAAACCCCACGGTAATGGTTACAGATCTGCAGGACTATACTGATGTTTGTGTACCGCAGAGAATGTATTTGGAGCCTTCATTAACACAAATTACGGAGATTTTATTATATTTTTCCAAATCTAATTTGCTCTATTAAATATTTCCCTCTGGCAGAATTTAATATAACCTCTAAACTGTTAATACCCCTCTCCCTTTCCCCTATAGCCCAGCGCCAGACGCCTCGTGCGAGCACCTACAGCAGCGATTTTCAACCGGCGAGCGGCAAGGGTCTCAGACCATGCGACCCCTGAGAGGCCCTGGCCTCTTTTCCCGTAGACTGCCAAATAAAACACATGACAACAGCGATCCAACAATAACCATCCCATGTGAATGAATCAAAATTATACTTATTTTTTTAAATTGGCCAAAAAGAAGTATTTTTGGTATGCCACAGAACTTTAGTAATTAGCTTGTGTGTGCCACGAGAGGAAAAAGGTTGAAAATCACTTGACCACAGGAAACCCATACAACACTGCTTCGTTCCTTATGTTAGGAATCGCTAATAGTCTAGAATATCAGGCATAAAGTATATGAAAATAAAATGCTTCTGGTTAAAGCAAAACAATACTAGAAAGTTCTAGATAACCATCAGACTCTGGGATACTTAGGGAACAGGCTGGTATTCACAGTAAATAAAGATCTTTTAACATTGTTACTTCAGGAAACAAGGACTCTGGGAAAAGTTACAAGACAAGCCTCTGGCTGCATAGTGCCTGAGAAAAGGACAGACATTCCTATAAACCACTTTGTGGGGCAAGGTTTCAATTTGTACGTTTTACTAGGTCATCGTGATTATTAGGATCCATACTTAATCACAAAGCAGTGTCCTTAAGGAATGTAAAGAGAGTTCATTTAGCAGCATCCAAAAACCTGAACCTACATTGAAATATGTTATGGTGAGGAACAGTAAATAAAGTCACACAAAAGAAGATTCAATGTTTTCTTTTCTGTAACTTAATAAATTTAAGTTAAAAACAAACAAACGAACGAACTATATAAAGGTCTTCAGGAATCACACAGGACCTAGCCTGACCCCTAGGGCGCAGCACCGCGCCACACTCCCTTTGGCCTGAACTGCTGCAGCCGACTGGTCCCCCAGCAAGGCACTGGTAAGTTATCGGGAGGTAGGGGCCCCGTGACTTGGTCTTCTTCTAATTACCCAGCGTTTGGGAGATGAAACCACAACTGAGGAATCAAAAAGCAGTGAATTTTTAGCAAATGTAACTTACATTTTAAAAACTTCTCTTTCAAGAAAAGCAATGATCTCAGTGGTCGATTAAAAGCAAGAGGAAATGTGAGAAATAAGGGGCACTCCAGGAAACAAAACAATTGCACCTTTTAAAAGAAATTTAGCTTAAATATGGTACAAAATGTCTATTTTACATATTTTATGGAGGCATTAATAGACTTACCTTTCATAAGTATTCATTAATATGCATTCATATGTGCAAACCAATATGGCTCAATGTAATATAATTCACTCAACATAATTAGCACACCTCTTAACCTATCACAGTATAGTCCTTTCAAGGCACCAGCCTCGTTTGAATACCTTGTGTTGTTACCTTAACAATACGGTACAGTAGCATTACATAACCTCACTGACAGGTGGGCAACATTTTCAACCAGCTCAGCCTCTGTTTAAAGTTTGCACATTCCCATGGGCTCAGCCTCTTGACCAATTTAGTGTTGTCCTCTCTCCACCGGTAAAAGCAAACTCACTCCTGGAGGTCTTCATTTCCACTGGTCTGAGTCATTACGGTTTTGGTCCCCATCAGCTGTACTAGAATCTGGCACCCTTTTAAGCCTAGAAAGGGACTGCTCTCTATTCCTGAACTTTGCTCAGTATTTCCCACCTTGACAGAGAAGATGCCAGAATGAATTATAACATACGTCCTACAACTGTGAATCTCAGTGCGAAGTTGGTGTTGACTTTACCTCCTGGGCAATCACCTATAACAGCTCCCCCTTTCAATGTACCTGGGTTCCCACTAGTCCAGCGTCAGTTAAATTTAATGCTTTTGAAATAAAATGTTACGCCTGGGTTTTGAAAAGACCAAAGCAGGAGGTTTTAAAGAGAGAAACTGGTGAAATCTGTCCCTTCAGCCTCTATTGTATTTATTCTCTTGGGCAGATACCAGGTGAGTCTCAACAGCCAGGTTCTATTCTGGAAAGTTTGCCCTCTCGGTGATGAAACCTACCTGAATATTTTTTTCACAGTCTGTTTGCTGGTGAAGGGACAGCTCACTTTCCAGGACAAACTTCTTGCCACATTTATCACAAATCTGCATGCGCCTGTGAGTAACGTTCATGTGCTTTTCCAGGTACCAGCGAGTATTAAACACCCTGGGGCACTTCTCACAGGTCAGAGTCTCTTTCTCTTCACACTTAGCTTTCTGGACTGGTGCTCTGGGCTCCTTTGCAGCCCGCTTCTTACGCTTAGGTGGCTCTACACTCTTCCTACGACCTCTTGTAGTTCTGGGAGTAGGGGAAGTGGTAGCTGCGGCAACAGAGGCAGCTCTCCTCGGTCTCCTTTGTGCAACGCTGACTTTCTCCACTATCTTCTCCTTTTTCTTCTGCCTTTCGTTCTCTCCATAGTCACTGCTGTCATCTGTGGCCTCTTCCTCACTCTCTTCCTCTTCCTCCTCACTGCTTGTCTTAAGAACAGGAGTCTCTTTGGACTGAGAAGAGACACCCTTTTCCCCTTTAGATACATTTAATGTTTGATTATTAAGGTTTACCTCCACTATGATCTGCTCCCTTTTGTAAGAGACTTCCTCCTCCTCCTCCTCCGTGTCATCAGAATTCTCCCGGTCTTCTTTAACAGCACGCACGTCAGACACGGCTCTTGTCTCCCTGAAATATGGTTGTTCCTCTGTTTCGTGGAGATGCGGTTTGCTCATCTTGGTGTCCACTAACGCAGAATAAGGACTTCCTGATTCCCTTTTGTACACTTTGGTGGACAGGTCAAGTTCCTGGTTGGCACCATGATAAAAGGTAGATGGCACTTGACCGCGACGGCTGTCTTCTTGTGCCATTCCTGCTACATGCACAGCACAGTTTTCAGCCAGCTCCTGACAGGGACTGGCTGTGTGGCTCATTGGTACGTGGCCCGATTTATCAAGCAGTTCAGACAGTAGAGAAGTAGCTTGAAAACAGGGTAATTATTAAGACTCAAATCTTTTTCCATCCACAAAGAATCATTCAAATGACAAAAAAGATTTGCAAGAACCTGCGTGCAATTCTTCCAGGGTTGCAGCACCAAAGCGTAAGTCAAAAGGTTTGGTGTTATGGCAAGAGCAGAGCACTAGTGATTTTTCTTTTGAAGACAGCTGCGAGTGACTTGGAGCATCTTATCTACAAAGAAAAACAAAGAAGAAAAAAGGTCAGATACCACTATTTCCTTTGCCTAGCATGCACTTACACCATACAACAGTTTAAAATGATTAAAGTCTTTATACATACAAGTCTTTCCCCTACTTAAATGATTCAATGTGGGCCATTATTTTACTGAGTTGCATGAATTCAACAAACTTTTTTTTAAACCTATACAGCTGATCTTTATTGTAAAATGTCAGTTAACAAATAAATGAATAAACATACAAACAAGCGGGCCCTAAGACTGATAAGGCTCGCTAGGCTGACGGGCCCTCGGCGCAGCCGGCTGACCCATTCACTCCTCACTATCGCCCGAACTCTGCTCACGTAGCTCGAAGTTGTTTCAGACATTTTTGGTTCAGGCCCCTTCAAAAAACATTTTGTGAGAATTAGATTCCAAGTAAATTCTCAGATAGCAGGAGTCGCTATCTCTTCACTGAGATATCTTCAGAGCTTAGCACAATGCCTAGTACTTAGTAGGTGTTCAGTATATATTTGATAACTAAATGAATAGCTACTACTGCATAGCATTCATTATCCTAGATGCTAGTGGACATACCGAGATGGCAAAATATATGGTCTCTGTCCACCATGAGTTTACAGTCTTATTGCATGTGTTGTACACGAAACACACAAGAGCTCTACGCTGGCTGGCTTTCTTTTCGATCAGGCACCACTATCCACCGCAGTGAGAACTTGCAGAACAAAGGTGGTAGTGGGTTAGGCACCATGGGCGAGGAAGATAAGTTAACTGACATAACTGCTGGAGACAGAGAAAATGTCCCTGGCTTTAAATCATTTTAATCTAGACATAGATATTACTACACAGACTATGGTTTTCAGATTTCAGAGTAATTTCAAAGTTGCCAAGTATTTTCAAATTTGTTCCGTGCAGAGCTCACTAGATTCCCTCAGTGAGTGGGTGATTTTTCTCGTCAGTTGCACAGAAATCTAAATTCTAAGAAACAGTAACCATCAAGGTGATGTGGTTCCAAGAAAAATAAAACCATCAATTAAAAAAAAAAAAAAAGTCAGAGAGGCACCTAATTTGCTTTGTGACACACCTCACATGACTGTTTAGCCTCCCACCTAACCTCTGAGTCATAAGAATATCACTGCGAACACACAGCCTGTCCGGCTGACACGAGGAGGAAAAGGAGCATTAACTGGACGCCCGCTCTGCGGGCCGGCGCTGCCCCGCTGCTTATTATCTGGCGTCCCCTAATAGCCACCACAAGACTTTGGGGTTGATTTTAAAATTATTCTTCTCTTTCATTTTTCTTTCTCTTTACGGATTTATTCTTTTAAAAATTATTTTACTTTCATGTTAGTGGCTTTTCAGAAAGGAGTGGTGATAAATGCTACTATGTTTTTTTTTGATATCTGAATTGATATCATTTATACTCCTTTGTATTTATTAATGATAAAATTATGCCGCTGAGAGGCTACCTAATTTGTCTAAAATCACGTATCTGTTCAATGACAAAAACAATGGTTGACCCTGGGCCTGCCCGACTCCAAAGCTCGTGGTCTATCTCTACTGTGACAAATGACACTCCAAAAAGTAATTTAAAATCAATGATGCCTGCAAACACCCATAGTTTTGCAACAGTTTCACACATCGTATTTTAAGTAGGAAAATCCCAATATCTTTATTTGGCGTGTGCCAAAACTTCTGACCCATGGAAATAATGTCAACTACCACAAGCACCATTATATAAACTTACTCATGTTAATTACCTCAAATTAACCAAGGGAGGAGAGATATAAAGTTCAACCAACCAGCCAAAGCTATTAATAGAAAATAAATAAAATTAAAGGAGACAAAAATAAATGAAGGGAAACCCTTTGTGGTAGTCAGTAGTGCGTTCTTCCCAGACATCTCTCTGGGCAGCCCAGGGCAGACCGGCACCTTCTGCCCCTGCGCCTGCGCCTGCCCCTGTCGCTGGGTAGGGCCCTCTGACCGCCTCTGACCAGGACACGGTGGGCAGATGTGACACACACAGAAAGCCAGGGCGTTTTCTAACCATGAGACCCTCCAGACCGCCTTCCCTCTGCCACAGGGACCAGCGGTCTTCTGGGTGCTGGCTGGTACCGTGGCTCTCTCTGAGCGACTAAAATGACTTACGGGGTATGTGCACAGTGCCATGCCTTATTTTGAAAAGTTACTTTTACACAGTGTGTGTTTTAAGAGCCATTGAGAGCTTGTGTTGTTTATTACTGCAGCATAATCTGGCCTATCCTAGCTGATACGGGTAGAATCCAGAAGTAGGGTGCTGCTTCATCAAAGAACCTCCAACACAGGGTCCGGCAGAAGCAGCGCCACTGAGCGTGGTTGGTACGGTGCGTGAACGGCTCGCGTGAGATGGAGAGCCCTTTGAACAGCTCCCCTGAAATGTCGTGCGGTGGGCTTGAGCGTGATACTGTTACGTTACAGAATTGCATGCTTATGATTTTGTAAGAAAAGATTTTTATGTAATAAAAAAGGGGCCTTATTTGTGCCAGACCCTGTACATATAAAAAGGCTTAGGAGCTGGGTAGGAGGCAAGGAAACTGTTACTGGAGGCTAAAAGGACAGCAACTCGTATCGAGCAGTGGTGAAATTACTGGTGAAACTCTCACCGAATTATCTCGTAGGACAGATAATATGCCACAGAATTCAGAGCTCTAGTGGGGAAATGGTCTATTAGACTATTAAGAGATAGTGCCAGTTACTGTTGACTGTATTTGACAAATTATTACATGCAAAGGATGAATTCAGAAAAACAAGATCAGTTTATAAACAAGCATAAAAGGAATCCAGAAAGTCAGTGATTTGTAAGGTTAGAAGAAGCAGTGCTTAATATAAAACTAATGTCTTTGATCTACAAATGCTGGTTAGAATTCATTCTGGAGGCAAGGATCAAATCAAATATTGAGCTTTCACAACCATTGATAAAACTTCCCAACTGCTAAGGTTGGGTGCAACAGAACAGCTGTTCCAAAAAGAAACTAAAAATGAGGTTCTCTCACTTGAAGCAGTCTTACTCTGTTTTGGTACAAAGCCTATTTCTCTAATGTGAATTAGTTCAAATGCTTGAAGTGATTAGGAAAAACTTTCTCAAAATTAAAAAAAAAAAAAGAAGTCAGCAATATATGAAGACCTTAAGAATAAAGCTAAACATTTTACGTCTGTATCTTCCTTTAAAGCAAGAGGTCAGCTGCTTCATGGATCACTGTATTTCCCACTTTATGAGTGGTGAAGCTGAGGGTCTGTTTCTCCTTCTGCTTTTATCTTATTTTTTTAATATGTTTTTTATCCTCACCTAAGTATATTTTTGAAAATTTTATTGATTCTAGAGAGAGGGGAAGGGAAGGAGAAAGACAGTGACAGAAACATCGATGTGAGAGAGAAACATTCACCAGTGCCTCTCGCACACGCCTCCAGTGGGGACCGAACCTGCAACCCAGGCACGTGCCCTGACCAGGAATCAAACTCGCAACTTTTCAGTTTGTAGAACGATGCCCAACCAACTGAGCTACACTGGCCAGGGCTCTCCTCCTGATTTTTTGTTGTTGTTGTTGTTGTTTATTTAAAGTGCTTGATTGCTAAAGCCTACACCATACTACAGACCAAACTTCTTGTTGTGAGAAACTGGTGTTTATTATAAGCTAATGTCTTTAAGGCCCCAAGTCTCGGAGGGCAGAACAACCGCCCAGGGGCTTAAGACTGTAAAGATTCAACTGACTGATGCTGGGTGCATAGGCCAGTGGAGATTTAATGTGCCTTTTTATTGAAATTATTATGTTTTTATTAGTGTACTGGTTACAGTGTTCCACAGATTTTGAGTAATCTGCCTCAATCCATAAGCCCCGTTTATTTTAGCATACAATTTTGCAGAATTCAGGAAAGCATATAAGGAATTACAGTAGAAATATCTGTACTCAAAATTAAGTCAAGGAAGAAGTATGAGATCAGTAAGGCAGAGCTGTGCAGCAAATCTAAGAAATATGGTTAGAAATGAACTGTGGATGCAGCTAGCGCACCCAGAGCTGACTGGAAACAAGCAATGAAAAGCCAAGTAAGTTTTAGAGAGTTATGCTGCCAAAAGAACCACCAACCTGGGCTAGAAAGGCTGGCTATTCAACACGGAAAGCGGTCTTCGGACCCAAGCATCTCTGGGCACGAATCAGGCTAAGAAAGCTATCCATCCCCCTAAGAGGACATATTCCTCATTGCCCATTTCAGCTACAGCTAAGGAGGAGAATAGAAGAAAAAAAGAAGGTCCATGAGGATGACCCAGGGAGCAAAAGAAAATAGACAAGTGAGGTGCCGCTAAGAAGCCAAATCAGGGTGTATCCAAGAACACTCCTCACCCCGGGCAGAGGCCCTCTCGAGGCCTGCTCGGGGGGGTTTCGGAATTTGCTAAGTTCACTGACCGCTACACGTCTTCCATTCCTCCTCTTGCTCTCAAACGGGAGGGTTTTTCTATTTCTTTTTTTAAATTTTCCTGTGGCTAGTCACCGTTGTACATTGTATGTGGGGGCAGCAAATCACCTGCCAATCGCTTCACCAGGTCTCTGAATCAAGAAGAGCAACGCCTGGACCTGACGCGGGGACTACCACGTGCACCATCTCCTCCTGGACGGGCCACTGATCCCCGTGCTCTTGCATTACTCAGGGATCCTGGACTTCGAGCTTGAGGCCACGGCTGGGGAAGACCTTGGGGTTCCCTGCACGGGGGACGAAGTGAGCGTTCTGCCTGTGAGAGAGCAGGCCGAGTATCTGATGACCGAAGGACGGCGCTATTCATCTGGTGTTGCCAGCGGCCCCCCGGCACAGGCTGGTATCATGGCTCTCTCTGAGAGACTAAAATGACTTACTGTACTTTACTTTCTATAATATGCTGTTATAGGGGTCCCTGCTGCCCGTAGCTGTGTGAGGCGAGACTAGTTCCGGCCATCCTGGGGTAAAAGAATCAAGGTGAGTCGCTTTTGAG